AAATAGAATGATATCAAAATATAACATCCTAGACCTGTCTCTTATACACATCTAGATGTGTATAAGAGACAGCTCTCTCTCTCTCTCTCTCTCTCGGTCTTCTTCTTCGTCGTGGTCTTCTATGCAGGTGCGCGGCGGCTTCCTCCACCTTCGGGTCCGCTATGGCGGACTATGGCTCTCGACGGCCACCTCTGCTACGGCGCATCTCTCCTGCGACACACAACTTCGGAGCGTGGAATAGCGGGTACCAGCTCTGATACCAATGCCATCAGACTCGGTTCTCATTCACACTTTTCATGCATGTAAACAGTAGCGCGGCAAACTGGCGACATGCGCCCACTCAAAACTCAGAGATATGGCATCCAGATACGAGTTCGCTTCCAATTGGCTATGGCGACTCAGCGCCCAAACAACTCACTGTTCACACACACCGGATCACCCTGGATATCCCACACGCGTCACTCTGAACACTCGCACATACACACACACTTCACACTAAACTATAGCTATGGCAGCTATGGCTGCCTCTACCCTATCGCTATGCTACGCTTCTTCTCTCTCGCCCTCTTCAGCTCCGGGCTCTCTGCAGACCTCCTTGCACAAGTCGCTGTGGCAGCGCTTCCGAATGGCTCACGCAGGAATGAATGAAAGGCTGGGCGCTGCCTCTTGATTTATTCTTCTGAAACTCGTTGGTCTGCCCTCTTCCATCGGCCCATGGTGCTCACAGTCCCTCGTGGTACTTGCTGGACTGGACTGGGACTGACTGGACCTTACCACTGACTGAGTGGGGACTCGCTGCTAACCTACCACCGTCGTACTGCAATTGCACTGCAGTTTAGTCCACCACTTGGCTCACCACTTGCCCACTTGCCGACTTGCTGACCTTCTAGAAGGCTACAGCTAGGACTTCTAGACTTCGCTAAGACTTCTATCCTACAGGTCTATAGATCGAACCCCTGCTACCTACGGACCTACGACAGCCTATCAACTGTTTACGAATACACAGTCACAGGTTCAACTCTCGGGGTCTACACCGGTACTGTACACAGGTAGGGCAAGGTCTAGGGATCGAACCCTGGGATCTGCGTCTGCTTCTGCAAAGAGGTGAGAACTGTTTCACGTGTCGGTATGCTGTTTTATACCTCAGAACAGGGTTGCACCGGCGCCGACCACCGACCCCGACCGCCGACCGTTTTGTCCCGACCGATCGGGGTCGACCGGTCGGCGGT